ATTTCCTCATCCATAAAATAGAGACAACATTTGCAATATCTGCCATATTAGGTCACTCTGAAGATTATATGAGTAGGTAACATAGACATCTTATGTCCACGACTGCTATAAGCAAAAGCTTATAAAGTTTGCGCCTATTATGCTTGAACAACAACTGGCTAGATTCTGAGTCAGAGGAGTCTGAGTGGGCCCATATGCTCTAGTTCTCCAGGTTGTGATCTTTTTATCGTCCAGCCATTCCCAAGAAGAAGCCCTTAGTGAACACTCATGTTGAAATGACCTAGGCATGAAGGAGCCAGTCCTGAAGCAGTAGAGTTCACTGTTCCACTGCTTTCCCTCAGTCCAAATATTTCCAGTTCTTCAGGTCAGAGAAGGCTGAATGGACTCCAAGGCCCGCTCCGAGCTCACCTCCCTTCTGATGCACACAGCTCCTCACAATCTTCCCAAGTGATACTGCATGCCATTTACAACATGCGCTCTCGTCGCATGTCTTTTTCCTCAATTATCTGCTAACACAAGCATTTGAGACATTAGCAAGCTACAAATTTCCCAAATAACATTTTTAACAATCCATATCTTGAAAAATATGCTACAGTGGAGGAATTCAGTCAACAGAACATTGGGAAAACACTGGACTCTAAATTTTCTAAAAGGTTATGTCATTTAGAAATTTATTTACCTTTGTAGTATCCAGATTGTCACCAACATGATGGTGAAACACTTTTCTGGTAAAACAAGGCCTCTTGGGGGAAGTGACCACTGAGGCCCTGGGTGAAGCATGTAAAGGAAGCCGAGCAGGAAGGAGGAAAACAGTTGGCTTGATGTGGCAGGAAGGCAAGTCAAAGAAGGCTGAGTTTAAGATACGAGGACAAAGGGAACTTCCTTTCTTCCTTAGCAGAACAAGCAGCAATAGTTTCTTCTGATTATATTCAAGAATATCGCTATCATTTATTCATCCAACACATCAGGGAGAAAACAAAGGCCCTTGGCAACTCATGTTTTAAGCAAGAGTATATACATTCAGATTTGCATTTTATAATCATCATTAATCTTCATTTCAAAAAATCATTAACTCGTTAAATAACTATAACCTTTCTGTTTTGATTAAAGAACTACAATAAACAAAACATTTTGAATTATTTCCAGTCTCTATACAAATTATGACATTTTGAAAAATAGCTCTTGTTCTTGTTACGTGCAATCCTATTGCTGTTTTCTATTTTTTTCCTTCTTTTGGAAATCATTTTTTGAGAAACTTCCATAACCTAGGCAAGTAAAAGTGAGGATCTGAGTTTTAAGACACCAAAATATGAATTTCTCAAGGACCTTCATTTTCTCCCTGATGTGTTGGATGAATAAATTGTAGTGATATTCTTGAACATAATCAGAAGAAATTATTGCTGTTGGATCTTCTAAGGAATAACTTCTTAGTAAACCTCTATGTTCAATCACTCTTGTCACAAGTGAGAAGCGATAGTAATATCATAGAGAATAGAAAGTAAAGTCAGATCTATTTTGTTCATTAGGAGACCACTTGGCACATTGGTGGAGTCATTGTGGTGCTTCAAACAAACTGAGTGATTGTATTGTACCAAATTGATGGTTCTCCATCCACTGCAGCATGGAGAAGTGTAGCAGAGTGGGGAAAGTAAAACAGTAGTTAGTGTTGCATATGCCCGGGTGACTGGAGGCCCTGCATTTGCTAACTCAGACATGAAATGCCTGTATCACAAGGAGAAAACCATGCACCTCTGGCAGTTTACTCCTGATGGCAAAACCTTTCAGAAGGAGGTGTCGGGGTGTCCGGGACCCCTTGCCCCATTACTCAACGACTAAGATGGCGCCTGGCTTTTAGCCAGTGCGGTTGAGCTGGTGAAAAACAAAATACGTCAACATCCGCCTGTATAAGGAAGTTAAATCTCATTGGATATGCTCTTGAGTGATCAGTGTATGCTCTTTGTGTGTTCTGCTCAATTATGGTTGTTGTACACATGAGCAGTGCTCTAATTGGCCAAGTAAATGCTATTTAAGCAATGCACTTCCCCTTGGCGGAGGAGTGAGGGGCAGAATAAAGGATCTACAAGAAGATATATCATGGCATCTTTCTGCTGGCAGAGAGTGCATCACAGGAGGTTTGATTTGAGATGGAAAAGCCAGCTACACTACATTCGTCTCCCTTTATTCCAGATAGGACTCCTGCTGTCTTTTTGTACCTTCTGGAGATGACATCTGCTAGGTCCAAAGCGGGACTCACTCTCAGCAACCCCCTCTAGAGGCTGAGGGCACTCTATGTATCTATGAAAATGAGGGCACTTGCCTTTCTGGGCTAAGGGCTTCGCTACTAGACAGCACAGGAACAGGGAGCGAGCACCAAACCATCAGGAGTGAGCAAAACAAGGAGCCCCGGAATCTCACAATACTGTTCTCTGGTACCTGGAGCATTCTACTGGTGACCCCACCCCATCCTGAGGGTGAATTTCCCCACCCCTCTCCACCCCTCCCTTCTTTAAATTTGTTATTTCACTTCTGCTGGAAGGTCCAAAGGGACAATCGATAGCTGAACAATGAACAGGTGAGTCATGCACCAGGGGTGTGAAGACTCAGTGGAGGCATTCCAGAAGGAGGCTGCGCATCAGTGGCCCCCTTTCCGCACCCACGAAGTACATGATGGCAGCCTCTCCCACACAGTTACTCACACACCACACCCTTCTTGAATATACTGGAAGAGACTAAAGTGTTGTCCACCATATACTTAACTTTCACTATCCACTTAGATCGTATAGTCAAATCCTGTTGCCAGACAGCAAAATCTAGTGTATCAATGCTCTGTTGACCAGTGTTACTCCAATGCCATGGTGCAAACTTCTACAAGCCAACTTCTAGAGAAAGGACGAAACTGTCCCCACAGGGAAGCTGCCTGATTCCAAGGTGGAAACCACAGTTACTGACTGACCTGTCCAGCCCTGGGACCCTGGTCTTGTCTTCCCTGGCAAGATAACTCTCAAGTCTATAATTAAAGTTCATTTGCGCCTGCTTGGTTTGTTGACAACTGTCAGCAATTACAGTCCTTATCTGTTGCTGGTGGGAACACAGCTGCTTTCCTTTTCTTCCTTCTGCCTCTGCATAGCTGGTTTTTCCACCAAAAAACAAAAACAAACCCCATATTGTTTTGTGATAGCGAAAAATATCAAAATTGTTTGCTGCTGTCCAAAGAGAAATGTATCCCCCTGAATCCATACACTTCACACATCGCACCATTCTGTTGTTTATATTGAAAAGATGATTTTTTTATTTTTTAATTTCTAAAAGAAATAACCTGTTAGTGAGACCATAATCTGGGTTTTAGTGACACAGAGCCTTGGTTCAAAATCTTGATTGCCCCCCTTATTATACTGGAGTGAACTTGCAAAATATTTATTTAATCTGTCTCAGCTGAAGTTTCTTTACCTGTAGAGGAGTCAGGTTCTTTCTCTGGAATGCCTTGACCACCTAGGACTTCAAACCCGGAAGATGACTAACTTATTCAATGATGGATTGTACCTTCAGAACTTCATAGAGGGAGGAGTGGACTTAAAGTGCACTTTTGTGTTAGTAAATTACACACACTCAGTAAATGCTTTCTGCTTTTCTTCTTACCCCGACCCTGAGATCTCCAGGAGCATCTCTATAGCACAACCAGTACACATTTCACAGACTCCAGAAGGAATGTCAGCCCCTATTCTGCCTGGCTTCTCTGGAATCCTGCCACTGCTTCCCTGCTCCGGGTCCCTGGGCTTGGCAGAACCCAGCTCACCTGGGGGCAGTTGACCTCATTCATTGTCGCATACAGCTCACTGTGATGATGTTACTTGCTTTCTATCCAGCTAAAATTAGACTCCGAATAAAATTCTAACTATTGTCCTTAATTCTATTGTCTAGGCCTTTAACTAAGAACCACCATGTTCCCAGGCCTACCCCACAGTCCTTCACCTGTTAGCACCAGTTCCACACTGGCTCACTGCACCGTGTAGTCTTGGTCTAGGCATGGTGGAGACCTTCTTAAGCATACAAAAACAGTCAGTAACTGAACCATGTCCCCAGAAGTTGGAAATCTTTCCCAAAAAGGCCCATCTTACTGCTTCCTGCACACTCTACCTGCACTTCCAATTTTGTCTGCTCTGCTTCCAAAGTCAGCTTTCTTTACCCAACCCCCTTTATGAAAATAGAGGCTTTTATTCCTAGGTGGAAAATATAGTTGGACAAGTTGATTGGAAAAAACTGTCTTTTGCTAATTCTGTCATACCAGGTAAGGAAAGAGATAGAATTTAATAAACTTTCAGGCACAGAAATACAGCAGTAAGGACACAGAGACTTGTGTGTTAAAATGGATAGCTGTCCCGATGTTCTCATTTAACACATTCCTATAGGCCTGACCTCAGCAGTACTGAACTAGACCATCAGATTGTTATTTTCATATTGAGGAAAACAGAATCTCTAGTTGATAGCCCTCATTCCAGGCTTTCAACGGAAAAGACAAAGACATGCACTGTACTCCAGTAAGTACTTGGAAGACATGATTTTAAATAGTATGTAACTCAATTATACAGTGATTTGTGAAGAGCCTGGAGAAAGATATTTTTTTTTTTTATTTGGACAGAGGCATTGTCAAATTAAAGGTGCAGTAGATCCACATTCTGTTTGTTTTAGACTGTTTGACTGCAGCACTGTGTCTTGCGTGTGCTGGTGAATTATTAACAGAGGTTATTGGTCACCATGGCAAAAAATGTCGGGGTACAAAAAAAGGACATGAGGTCAAAGAGGATGTATAAAGGTGCATCTATAAAGGCTGTGCTACATTTGAGAGGCTGAAGCTACACCAAAGACACAGCTCCCGGCTAATTGGCTTTTGCTCCCCAACACGGACCTGTGACAGCAGCTGTGAGGCTCTGCCAGTGACTCCGAGGAGACCTTGTGAGGAGGCAGTGAGGGGTCTTTGCTGCAGACCTACTTTGCTCCCCAGCATGTGCACCGGGAGTTGCGCCAAATGCCTGGGGATCACCCTCATTCCCCTGGCAGTGCTGGGCTTCCTGGCTAACGTCCTGTTATTTTTCCCCGGAGGGAAAGTGATTGACAACAATGACAACCTTTCCGAGGAGGTGTGGTATTTTGGAGGAATATTAGGAAGCGGGATCTTGGTAAGTAGGAAAGCTTTAAAATCACCCTGAACGATATTTATACTCCTCCCCTCTTAAATTGGTTGTTAGTTGAACAGTAAGACCTTTAGCTGCTCAAAAAAGCCTTTTTATCAAAAAACCTTTGCAACAGTATTCTAATTTTCCCCTCTCTGTGGACAAAGACACAGCCTTTGAATTTACTACCCAGGCTGGCAGTTCTTATGTATTGGTTGATTTCCATGACCCAAACTGAGGTTCACCTAATTGCTTCATTCTAACTAGATAGTGTTGGGAGTGAGGGGTACAGGGTGGGTGGATATACTTCCTTGCAAATGGATTCAAAAGTGCCCAAGAGAAGCCGGATTCCCCTCCTCTACCCCTGCAATGAGTGTTTCTAATGGAAGCTCAGAACCTCCCATTTTGAGAGGGGAATTCTACTTGTGACCAATTTCTTATCCTTGTTCTACTACCCTATCTGTAGGTGAAAACTCAGGGTTCAGGTAGTAAAATCTTGCCTCACTGAAGCTGCAGGTCGGACAGGCGACACCTAAGTCTTCAGCAACACTCATCTACCCTACCAGGCACACTTGGCAAGTCCTGTTTTGCTCTTGGCACCAAGTGCCACATCGTGATGTCAGTCCTCAAACCCCAGGCAGGCTCGGGCCTCCTCTTAATTGCCAGCTCCACTGAGGTGCTTTTCTTGCCGATAGATGATCTTTCCTGCCCTGGTGTTCTTGGGCCTCAAGACCAATGACTGCGGTGGTTGCTGTGGCAACGAAGGCTGTGGGAAACGATTTGCGGTGAGTTAGGGGATTGGTGGGGGGAGCAGCTCCCCACTCTCATGTACACTGTCTCCTTGTGCTTCCATCTGGTGAGGATGAAATCATCAGCAGGCAGGACCCTGAGGGCCTGGATACAAGGATAAAGACAAAATTCTTGTTAGTCCAAAGAAATGATCATGGCGCATTTTCAAGTGCCATAGCCCCCATACCTACAGAGTGTGGGTACTTTCTGAAATTTTATAGGCAGGCAGAACTGAAAAACTGCATTTTAAAGAATGTGGGCTTAGAAGATAGAGATAGGGGTTACAATTCTCTCTGCCATCCAGAGGCCCTGAGAACTTGGGCACGTCATTTGCCTTCTTTACCTCATCTGCAAAAAGAAGTTGAGAAAGGACAACTTTCCCCAATAACCCCCAAATCTCCTATCCATACCACAGAGCCTCATTCTCTTGGAAGCTCAGAACATCTCTACTTCTACTAGATTTTGCTTCAGGACTTCTTTCTCCTTTTGGGTCTCATGCAGTCATCCTTCACGTATGCAAGCAAAAGAGATTAGGCATCACTGCTCTGGGGCAGAGTAGAAGAAATGTTGGGACATGTCTGGAACCGGGCAGGACACCATGCTGCTCCCTTGGCTCATCTGTAAAATGAAGAAGTTTGGCTAGATCAGAATTTCCCAAGCATGGTACACAGATATGCTAACTTTCAATATGTAGAAAGACATTCCCTTGTCAGTTCTCCTTCAATTCCTTTGATCCTAAAAAAAATCTTATTTTGATGGAAATAAGTCTTGCTGTTTCTAACTCTTAACTATCAAAAGAAGAACAAGCCTCAGACTTGTAACATTAACTAAAAATTCATTGGTACTGTGTTTATGTTTGATAATGATTCTAACTTATTATTTATAATTAAATGGTGACATAAATTAATAAAATAAGGAGTTAAAATATAGCAAATATTCAAATTTACTGATATGACAACGGTAAAAAAGGTAGAGCTGGAATTACTTGATGATAAGGAAGGCCAAAACCTATTTCTGTCTTCTGAAGTTCAGTTACCCATCTCAGAGTCTCAGAAATCCTAATATTGAACTTTTCATGTTTAACTTATCTTCAGTGAAAATATGTAAGTATTCCTTCTGAAGAAAATGCTTTCTGACATTTCTTTCTCATTGCTTACTCATAGATTCAATAAAAACAGTTATCATGCACAAATGAAGGGCTACATCTCATGCACATTCTACAATTGCAGTTTTCCATTGAGATCAAGGATCATTTGAAGAAAATATTTTCACATCTTAATAGCTTCATGAGTCCCAAGTGAACACTCATCATCATCATCATATTATTATTATTATTATTATTATTATTATTATTATTATTTTATGTCATTTAAGTCATTTTAAAGACATGTAAAAATCAACCACAATTTATTTGGTATAATTGTGTAACATATAAATGACAGCTTAATATGATTAATTTAAAGGAAAGGAGGAAATATATAAGTCATTTTAACCTTAAAAAAAAAATCTCGGCCCTCCCTGGTGGCGCAGCGGGTTAAAGCACAGCACTGAGAAGCTAAAGCCACTTCTGCATGAGTTCGATTCCCGCCTGCCCCGGAGGTGACCACATGGCGTGGCAGACCTCTCCTGACCCGCTCGCTGCTCCCCTCAGCAGTGTACTTCGTAGATCTGCCTGTTCTGCTCCCCACTCTGTCTCTGGTGAAGCCTCTCGCCACCCCTGAGCCTCTGGCCTGTACCCCAGTTCTGTATGAACAAATAAATAAATCTTTAAAAAAAAAAATCTCATTTTTCTCATGGGCTTCGGAAGTATAAGTTGGAGTTGAGAATTAGGAAAACTGGCCAAAAGAATCATTCCTTAGCAATCTAACAATTTTTTCCTTGGTGTCAATTAGAAGGCTGAGATTAGCCAGTATAAAACAAGGGTTTTATTTGTTTGATTTTTTTTTTTTTTGAGATTTATAGTTAATGCAGTGAATACTGCATTTGAATAGCAGTATTCAAAGTATTGGCAAAGATTAGTTTTTAATTAAATCTAAATGAAGAGAAAAAGGAAAGCAGAAAGGCATTTCAAGAGAATATTCTAAAAGGTATTGTGCAAAACATATTTTTTACATTAACGCTAAGAAGGCAGAATGGTGTTTCTGCAAGGATTGTTGTCATACAAACAAATGGAAGGGACTATCCAGGCTTTCCCCCTCCCCCCACCCAAGTAGGGTCTACCCTTGGTGTGATGACCTGCCCTGGGTGGAGAAGGATGAGAAGATTTCCCTCAAGTAACTCACCATCCAGAAGGCAGTGTCCATCAAGGGACCAGCCAAGCCAGCCTATACATCAAGACACCCCAGCCACACTCAGGTAGTCAACAAGTCAACAGGAAGATTCCTTGGCATTGTTTTGTTTTGTTTTCTTTTCTTTTTTTAGTTGTCAACTTTTAAACACTGGATGGTTTCACAAAATGTATCTAAGTATCTTCTCTTTCAAAAATTAAAAATTAACCTCGCACTCTTTGACCTGCATCTTGGCTCAGTAAAGCCTGCACTTCTGAGGCCAAGCACTTCCTTTAGGTTTCAGGCCCTTACTTTAGAGCTATGTTTCTTGAGTGTACTGAGGATCTAAGTACTAAGGGAGCACTAAGGGATAATCACATTTTAAAGCAGAACTTTAAAGGGGTCTCCCTGTTGGCCTCAATGTTAATTCTCAAGGCCGCGTGAGTTCAATCCCCCGCCAGAGAGCTGACTCGCATGGTGCAGCAGGCCTCTCCTGTCTTTCTCACTGCTCCCCTCAGCAGTGTATTTCATCAGAACTGCCTATTCTGCTCTCCACTCTGTCTGGTGAATCCTCTCACCTCTAGCCTACACCCCAGTTCTTTTGTGAAAAATAAAAATATTTAAAAATATAAAGATCTTAAAAAAAAAAAAAACTTTACAAATATTTTGTTAGAAAAAAAAAAAAAGCTGCAGCTGAAGATTTGACGACTTACATGTCACGAATTCCCTTCCAGGTATTTAAGGAACACTGGGCTTCTGCGGAATGCGAATAAGAAATGCTGGTGGATAGAAAGAGCTGTAAGGCAGAAACAGACTAGGCCAAGGGTTGCTGGGCTAAAAGCAGTTGCCTATTCCACAGATGTCATCTCTACTGTATATTTCCTGACTTAAACACCCCTCTTTGCTTTGTCTTTCTGGAATATTCCCCAGAAGTCAACTGTATCATTCTCTTCCCTTTCCTTGAATTAAGACAAACAAACAAACAGGATGTAAGAACTGATACCAGAGGCAGGATATGGTGTCTGTAGAGATAAAGAAAGAAAATGGACTAAAAAAAATTTTATGGTTATCTGGTGAAGCTGGAACATAGAGCAAACTCTGGGACAGAGAAAGACTGAAGCCAGTCCTAGGAATCTGCATGTTCTCACGTAAATCAGACTGAAGAGAGCTGTGAGAAGTGAGCTAGTGCAAAGCTGTGAGCTTACTGTGACTTCCAAAGTGGGCTTCCTGAGCCCTCACCTGTTTTCTCACCCCCAAGCCTCAACATTTTCCTCCCACAAGGGAAAGGCTCCAGGAGAACCAGGAAAGGGTCTAACCAAGCCAGAGAGGGTCTCATACCCTTTGATAGTTTTTTAAAAAAGTGATCTCTCAGTGGAGGGATAACAAACAATTTTGTAAGAATGTAATCAGTGATTATCCTGTGTAAAAAAAAAAAAGAACTTTCAAGCAGTGACACCATCAAAAATTTTACAGAATTTTTTGCTTATATCATGAATTTTATGACATTGTCCCCAACTGAACAATATAAATAAATATCAAATTGCACTCATAAAAATATTGATCTCTCAGGCTCTAATGGGACAGCTAAATAATTTTATCAACTCACTCATGTTAAATGTGTGCATAATAAGAAAATTTTAAAGACCTTGGTCTTGATTTAAGGAGTGTCTTTAATAATGGGTCTGAAGTTAAATTGATAAAGGAGATATTAGGGTGCAGGCCAGCATGACGGTATCCTTAAAACATATCAGTTAGATAAAGACCCACCCCACCCATAGGCAGGGCCCTGTGCAAGGAAGATCTTGGTCAGACCTTAAAGCAGTCAGAACCTTCCATGCTGGCTCGCCTTTGCCCCCTAGTGACACTCATGGGTAAGCACTTCTGAGGCTAAGAACCAACACATATTTTGCCTGCCTTGGAATGACAGCCAGTTAATGAGATTTAGTAAAGCGTTCTTTTGAAATACTGAATTGCCTTGAAAAAAAAAAAAAAAGTAGGGGAACCTACTTCTTCTCTAAATGTTTTCTATGCTTCAAAATTCTCTGCTGTAAAATAGATCTGAGCAACCATAGGGAGGAAAACTTTCCATCTTTTCCTTCTCCCCTTCTAGGCCCTTGAATAGACACGTTTTATATATTTTAGACAAAAAAACAATTTGTGAAGGTTTGACAAGATAAAGAAGTTTGGGTTGGTGTAGTAAATTAGTGCGGAAGCAAAAAGACATTAATATAGGCTTCTCTGCCCTACATTCCCTGTCTCTGGTGGTAAGGATACTTCTACCCTCCTGGGACAGGGAAGGTACTTTCACATTTCCTGCTTTCAAGGGAACAACAGAGAGCGTCGCAAGGGCTGTTTCTGAAATAATTTTATTTAAAAATAATCAGTATACCAGTGTGTCCTTCCAGGTGATGAATTCTATTATCCCTTATAACCACTAGCTGTTGTACTTTTATTGTTTATTCTGTATTTGCAGAAAGTGAAAGTATGTGAGACTATGATAATAAAATTATTATGATATAAAAATGGTATTTATCAAATATTTATTAATGTCATGAGAAATTAACCAAAACTTATAAATAGGCAAACAAGATGCCTGGGTATCTTGTCAGTGAAATGTTGGGCTTTAAGCTAATGGCCTACTTGTTTCTCCCTCCACTGCCTGGGTGTTACCTGGCTTCCTAGAGACTGACTACCTAGTTACTATTGTTTCGGCCCCCTTATATAGTGTG